ATATTTAAGTAGAAAAAGGAATCAATTTGTGTTCTTTTTATATCTTGTTGTTGTTGTTATTGCTTATTTGTTAGTTGTTTTTTTTTTTTTGTTATTTCTTTTTTTCCCAAAACACGCAACACGTAAAGCTCCAGAGTTGCTTAATATGTTTATGAAATACTTTTCATCAGGCGACTTTGTCATGTTTAATGTAACATTTTGGAAAGTGAATGAAAAAGGAAACCGAGAGCGATAAAGCATTTGATGAACCGAACGATAGGTTCGATTCGAATAAGCAAGCGTGGCGGGCCAAACTATTTCTTACTAGTTTATGTTTTATTTTTTGTTAAGTAATTACTTTTGAATTTAAAAATTAAAAAAAAAAAAAATTAATTAAAAAAATTAAATTAATCTAATATTAGGGCACATAAATTTTAATAGTTTATAAAATAATTGCTTTCGATTCAAATCATCTGTAAGCGGGGAAACTTCTCGGCGGGAAGGATCAAGCCTACATATGAACATGTTAACAGCAGAGATGGCGGTTTCTTTTATTATACAAAAAAAAAAAAAAAAAAAAAAACATTTTTCTAAAAAAATTTTTTTGAGAACAACTTCTCCAAATTCTCCAAATAACCTAACGATAGAGAGTTTCTGATTTGCAGCAACAACTAAATAGAAAGTTTTAAATATAACAACAAACTTTTTTTTTACCCAAGTGCCCATGAAACAACAAAACTATGACAGTTGTAAGTTCCTAAGTCAATGAGTGAAAAAAGAAGCATTGAATTCATATTAAATTAAAATAACAGTGGAGCATATACGGGTAAAAATGAAATCAATAGTTTGTTGTTGTTGTCGAAATTAAAATCAATTAATTAATTTGTTTTCATTATAATAAAAATTAAAAAAAAAAAAAAATATAAAAAAAAATCTCAATCTTTTTTAATATTTAAAAATTTTAATGAATGAAATTAAAAGAAAATCAATTTGAAATTAATGAAATAATTTTTATCATTAAAAAAAAATAAATTTAATATACCTTTTTAAGTAAATAAAAAAAAAGAGTAAAATTTTTTTTACTATTATTAATTTAAAATTAAACAAAAATTGCAATCAAAAGAAAATTAAAATTAATTAAATAACTTTTATGCTAGAAATGTAAACATTTTTATGTATACAAAAAAAATTAATTTAACTTTTTTATTATTAATTTAAAATTTTAAATAAATGAAATTAAAAGAAAATTAAATTACAATGAATTAAATAATTTTTATTACAAATTAAACTAATGTAAATGAAAATAAAAATTAACCTCAATTCTTATCTCGATATTGAAATATTTTTATAATTATAAGCAAATTAAAATAAAAGTAGTTTTCATCATAAAAAAGAGGAATCTGATAGATATTTATAATTAAACAAAAAAAAAAAAAAAGAATAAAAAATAAAATAAATAAAATAAATAATTTCAATATATTTTTGTATTTAAAAATTTTAATAAAAATTTCAATTTTTTCTATATCGTTTGTAAAGAAAAGAATTTTTTTCAAAATAAATTCCGTTCATTGCCTCACTGTAGTTGGATGTATATAAACAACAGTTACTTTTACATATTTTTCAAATTTCTTATAAAGGTATTTATGTTCATGCAAAGAAAATATAATAAAGAAATAAAGGAAAAAGAATAATTTTTGCTGTTATTATATTACATTACTTGGTTCTTACTTCTTATATATATATATATATAAATATATGTATAGAAGTGAAAGTTTTTTATGCATTAATGTAGAACATCAGTGAATATGAAGTCACCTCAGAGACAAGTCCTTAACTGTTCAATGACTTTAGTTATATAGGCTCAGTTGGAAGGAACAAAATATTGCCGATTATTTAAAACATAATAAATATTTATAAACTTATTATGAAATCAATTGTTTTTAAGAAATCCAAATGAAATGAACCTTTGGAAAGGAAAAGTTTTAACTAATTTACCTTACGGTCATGTGCTAATTATAGGCGGTAAGATAAAGTCGCATCCGTACAAGTAAGTACGAGAGGAAGGGAAGGATTTTCATTCAACTATTAACTAAAATAATTTTTCTAAAAGGATAACGTTAGAGGTAACGGCAGACGACCGCATAACGTTAGATAACGAGAAAGGAATGCTTTTAAAAGTTGAGGCAAACTTTCGCGACAACTCATCCATTCATTCCATCTTTCAACCGGGCGAGGGTAAACAACAAGAAGAGATTTGGAAAACGGAAGGACCTAAAAATCCTTTACAACCAGGTAATTGATGCATTTCATAGTGGGTCATAGGTCAAGATCATCATGTTTCCATTCACAATTTCAGGTGAAAGCTTCACTTTTCGTATTGCTCTGCTGCAGAAATGTTTCGAAATCTATGTAAACGATCATATTTATGGTACTTTTGAATTTCAACAAGCGCCCAAACAAATTCAATATGTTATGCTTCAGGGTGACTTTGAGAAAGTGGCGCAGATCCACCAACGTATGCTGTTTCCCCTTGTATTCCCAAAGAGCTTACTAAGTTCCGAGAAAATTGCCTTTCAAAGTGACGTACCGAAGAAATACGAAACAGGTTTGTTCCTTGCACAATTGATTATTGAAATCGGACGAATAAAAATAAATATATAATTCGATTCTTTAGGCACTGTTGTAGCTCTGCAATGCATTGCGAAGGGTCCGCCATTAACTGAATTTTCAATTTGCTTTCAATGCGCCGACACGGGACGAATCATTTTGAAATTTTTGGTAAATTTTGATAAATGCTGTGTGACGCGTACCTGCCAGAAAGACGATAATAGGTTAGGTCGATTATAAAAACATGATCGAATATATATAATTTCTGTGATTTTTTTTTAGCTTTTCGTCCGATGACGAGGAAACCGATGGTGAATTCCCTTTCCAACGCGGCAAGCTATTCAAAATCGCTTTTGGTGTTGGCGACAAAGCTTTCATTATTGCTGTTAATGGTCAATATTTTACTTATTTCAATTATCCTTCTCGCTCGTTCGCCATTTCCGCTTTAAAATGCTGCACCAACGATGTCGGAGATTTTACAGTAAAAAGCTTAGAATACCATTTGGACTCACCACTCGAAGCTCGCGTTGAAAGATTATCAGCAATTTAAGCAAAAAAAAAAAAAACAAAAAAAAATTATTTAATCGTTTTATTATATGAAAATATAAACAAAGATATTGACTCCTTAAGGAAACAACAATTAAATTATTTTAATGCGCGAACTCGCGGCCATCGCGGCTCTAGCGATGAGAGACTTTAAGTAAATGGCCGATCATCGAAATTTTAATAAATCCGTTGCTAAAAATATAGCTTACGAGACGTTGCATTCGTAGCCCCTCCCCTATTGTTAGGATGAGGAATTAAAAACACAGTTTATAGAGCTCTTAAAGCATGTAGCTGGTCAGCCTTTTTTTCGGTGGATCGTATCCGCCTTTTCATACATCTCGTGGAGCGTACATCCTTTCGGCGAACTTTTATGAGTCATCCCTGTTTCTTCATTATGCTTACAATATAAACACATCACTCAAATGTGTTCTAAGGCATGTTATCCAAGCGGCCAGATATCTTTTGGAGTTAGAACCACACCTTTTTTTTTGTTATTTGTACGCAAAGTTCTTAAATGCAGAGTATTCATCTACAAGAAATTCCGCTGAAGTCGGACAAGGCTGGCTAACGGTAACAGCTTGCAACGACTACTTCAAAATACCGCCTTCTGAGGGTAGTGGTAGTACAATAAACTTTCCGTCAAATGAATTTTCAATAATCGTTCGCATTTCTTCTCTCTTTAGCAAACGCATGTTCATACAGCAAATTTCATCAAAAGCGTGGATTCGTTGAATGCAAAGACAGATGAGCAGATGTTAGGCGAACAGACAAGCTTAAGTCGTTTCAAAATGTCTAAGTGAAAGGAATGGTATAATAAAATGTGATTTTATCTAAATTCTCATATTTTTATTCTTATATAGAACATATCCGTTTTTGGTAAAGGATTACCCATTGTTGGTTATAAAATTGCCCTATCCGTCTGACAATTTGCGATGCCACGCTGATAAAGGTAACGTCGTTAGTTGAGGCAAAACAATCATCGAGCCGTTTCGTAAGAGTTGAAACTCTGCTTGGTAATCGTATGCCCCATCGCTGCGAACAAGTGGTAATCGGAAGAACGCGAGTTTGGTGAGTAAGACGCGTGGGGTAGTTCCCCGTGGATAGATGGACGATGGATGGATGAATGGATATCAGGTAAATAGTAAATAGTCTTACGATTGTTTTCTTGAAATTCTGGTCGCCTTTCGAATAGCGAGTCAATTCATTCAACAGACTACAGCCTTCAAATCCCACCAAATGCAGAGCAACACATTATCACCAAAACGGTTTCGTTTTGCGATAAATCTCTATGGCAAGTTCGAATCTGCGTATGAAGTTTTGCATCGGCGATTCTTAATACAAGCTCACCTTCCATTTGTAGCCTTCAAGGGAAAATGTGCTGTCGGCGAATGCCTTTCTTTTTTCCTTGTTAAATAAAAATATTTTTGCTTTGTGATATGTGTTGATATCGATGCGACTGTACATTTGATGAGACCAAAATGTTATAGAAAGGAATAACAAAATTTAAGAAAGACAGAAAAAATGAAGTAAACATGTAAAAGGGTGTATATGCACATAAGACATATAACTTCTGGTTAAAAAGAAAAGAACACAGCTTCAGGCTTCGATGTCCTGCACAAGTCATATGTTCCTTAAATCGCCATTTCTTACGTGTAGACCTGATATATTATATATGAAAATTTAGTTTGTCTACACTTTGTCTTACAGAGTTTCTTCGTTACGAATGCTCTTTGATATCTCCCTTTATTTACTTTCCACTAATGATTGCAACGAGCATTGCATCGATATTAATTTATTTAATTCATTTCAATGTCATTTTCATGAGATCATGGGATCAAATTTCTCATCGCATACATCGCATTCATTTCAATTTGAATAAATGGAAAATTTTCATCTATATGTCGGTATATGTACGGTACGTTTATAAATAAATTTATTATAATTATTTTGATATCAAGAGGATGTCGTTTGCTTTTTGTTTTTTATTTTTTTTAATTGCTTTTCAAGTCGTTGAAATTATATGATAATCTATCCATCTCTCTATCTATGTATCTATCTATAGAATGATTGTCTGTGACAACAGTTAACTTGCGTTAACTTTAACATGCGTGTAAGGGTTGATAGTCGTCTCATCGTACATTTTACATTTGCAAGTGAAGTTGTCACGATAATGTACGCCGGCACACATGCATGTGTGCGTATGTCAACAGAATTATTGTTTTTGTTTTCTTCTGTAGAGTGTCGTAAAGCCTTTTAAGATTCTTAGAGTGCGGGTGCTTGCTACATAAATATATATATTTTGTTTTGAAAGGCTTACGTAGGGTTTGTCCATGTTTCTTTAACGAGCTCCTCGATGCTCTAACCGGAAGCAATTTAATATCGTAATAGTTACGAACGTTGGATGGGCTTTGGCTAGATAATAATCATAATATCAATAATAATAATTAACTATATTTATAAAATGTCAGCATGTTTGCGATGTGTGCTGTTGTGCCCGCAGAAATTATTATAATATTGAAAATTGAGTTGAGTACCAAGTTCCAACTGACACTTTCTTTATTGACTTATCCCACATGCCACATGGAATTGAGTGCACATTAAATTGCGTCAAACCAAAATAATTAAATTTATAAAATTATTAAAAATAAATTTGAAGAGCATTGCCAGCGCATCATCAAAATATGTCTTACGAGGCTTGACATATGTACCGTCTGGAAATTTATGAATTATTTGCCTTCAATGGAGAAAATAAATTTTACAGATGCCATTAAAGAAAAAAATTTTTTTTTATTTTTTTTATTTTTTTTAAATGTTACACATGCAAACAAGCCCTTCGGAGGATAAACGAAATTTTCCATTATTTTCTTAAAGTAAAATTTTCTTCTTATCGACAGTTGAAATTTTCCAAAGTTTTATGAATTTTTTGGCTGCAACCACCACATGCTGTGTTTTAAGTCGTAATAACGAACTCTTAAGAGAAAGTTATCGTTTCTATATCTTTTTTCGTAAGGGTGTGCATGGGTCTCTTTTTCGTGCATAATTTGTTTTTATTTCTCTTTCATTTTGATTAAAAAGCAAAAACAACAAAGAAAAGTAAAAATTAAAGGTTTCCAGTCTCACGTCAGGCACGCGTAAGTGAGTCTTGCTGGCTTTGCATTTCAGCAATTTTATTGTTTTTGCAGCTGTTGTATACTTATTCAAACATACATATACACACACACACACACACACACACTCACACAGTTCCGAAATATACATCCTTTAAACTCGATAGCGTGTTAGATAGAAATGATTCTCACTGTTTTTATTTCACTTAAATTCCCTTTCATAAGGCGTTAATGACTTCTTGTAGCAAGCGACTAAATATTAGTTAAAATTAATTGTTAAAAAATTGCCTAATTTTATAGAAACTATAAATTAACATTTTATCGTACACCATAAACGTATTAAAGGATATATTACGTGACTGATTTTTAAAATTATATAGTTATATATACCGTAAGGAATAACGTGCTTGAGTTTCGTTTTGTAGCTATCAGCTCGATTCTTTCTTCCTGTGGCTTGTGTGTGTTTGTATTTGGTCTTATCGTTGCGTTCTTTCTAAGCTCCCTGTTGCGCTTGTTTCTTTTCTACGTTCCTTTGCCTTTCATTGTGTGTTTATTGCTTATCTTGATTTACGACGATGATGGACCCTGTTCGATATGACTACTTTTTGCAAAAGTGAGTCCTCCAGCAACAGATGCCTGGGCAGACGGACAAATGGATGGTTAATATTAAGTCGACTCAAAGTATTAAGCCGTCACTCTGCTCTCCGACGGACGAGGAATTTAAATCGGCCCAGAATCTTAAGCCGCTACGTTGAGCTCTCCACTAAGAGATGAGAGACTAGCGAACGGAGGTGCGGGTAGACACAAGGGCAATACTAAATCGACCTGGAATCTCAAGTCGCCATCGTGCGTTCTCTAGCAACAGACGACAGACAAGCAGATGGATAAAGCGACAAAAGGTCTAGTGTGTCGCAAACATATAACCGAAAGAGAAATGAACACAAGTCTCCGCTAGTTTTCTAGCAGCAGGATAAAAGCAGTCAGGGCTACGAACAGGCATCGCTAAATTGGCTCAGAAACTTAAACCGCGATCGTGAGATCTCTAGTAACAGGGAAAGGCTACAAATCTAACAACTCACGAGTAGATTACCAGAGGGAGACAAAATGAAATCTCTTAGAAGGTTAATATTCGAACGAACAACAGATGACAGAAACGAGGATCGAAGGGAGACTCGATGAACTAAATCATTTTAGAGTCTTGTACTGTACTGTCCAGAATGTTATATATATACTTATATGGAGTTTGAGTTCTTCTTTCAGGCTTCTCGCAAAGGGAGGTCAACTCTAGTATATTTGAGAGTTCAAACTAAAAGTTTTTTCTAAGCTATATATAGATTTCAGATAAATTAAAATAAATTAAGATAAGACATTTACCTAGAAAACGCATCAAATCCCAAGAGTGCTTCTGCTCACTCCTGCTAAAACCAACAAAAAAAAAAAAGAAAGAAAAGAGAAACACTTATGTATGTGTAGGGGGAAGAGGACGATGATTGAAAAATTCAATCGAAGCTTTTTAAAAATCATTCGCATTTTCTGCAGCAGCAGCTGTTGCTACAAACCACCTTGTATTGAATAGCGCGACGAGCAAAGAAAGAGTGCATTAAACTGTTGGCTATGAAAAGGGCATATACGAGTGCATTCGAATCGCTCACGCGCTGTATGCGTTTACATCAAATTCATTAAGAAGTTAATGCGACACACTTTTCAAGAATGTATTTGATCGTAATATTTATTTTTAAATGCAGCTCATTAAAGGCTTTATTTTTAGTAAGCACTTACATAAATGTTTTCATGCAAATAAATAAAATGTTTAAGTGATTATTGTTTGTTTATTTTGTTTGTTTGAACGATCCACTCAGGTCAAGTTTACGTTTCCTGTAATATTACAACTACCAAAAAA